CCCCCGGCGATCTCTCGCTTCATGCCATCCTGGCTCCTACGGATGAGTGGGTACGTGAGCAACCGGCCCCACGGAGCAGGACCACGGCCATCGCGACACAGGCTGTCCACCCCCAATGAGCACCCCAGCTCCCATTAGGGCTAGCGCTGGCCTGGACACTAACAGGACACTGGGGCCCAGGCCACCACATAGGGGACAACAGGAGGCCCCCACTGCTTCCCTTAGCTTCTCAGGAGGGCCCCAGCCGCCCTTGAGGCCACTCCCTCTAGCCCCCCATCAGCCCTGCTCACCCTGGTGTTGACACCTCGGGCCTGATTCCTGAACCCGAGCTTTCCCTGTCCTGTCCCGTCCAGCAGGTGCGTGAGCCGAGCCTACCAGCCAGGTTATACTGCACTGCTGTGGCCTAGGCCTCTGCCAGGGCTGGGCTAACTGCCTGGGGTGACACTGGCAGCTGGGAGGTTGATAACCATGCCAAGAAGTCCACCCACGGGCATGGGGTGGGGGCAAGTGAGGCCAGCTCCCCCATCCCCGGGGGTCCCCTCCCAGCACCGAGGGTCCCCTGAGGATGACGGTGTAGGGCATCCCGGTGCTATGAGACAAGCTTTCTCCTGAAGAAAATTCTACAAAGCTCCCTCACCCCCAGGGCTGTGGGAGTCCTGAGGTGCAGAGGGAACCAGAGGGCGTGCAGAGACAGTGCCACCTGCTGGCCGAGCCCGTTTAACAGCGGCAAGGCCTCTAGGCACGCAAAGACCATCTGGCAGACTGCTAGTTTTTGAAATTTGGTGTTCACTCAGTAATTAGCACCATTTTAAACTCAGTTTTTTGAATATTAAAAAGCGGAAGGAGGACAGTAGTTATGGCTGGAACCATAGAATCCTGTTCTGGAAACCAGAATCTAATCATACACAGCCAGAACTCAGGGTGGCAAAATTGTTGCCGAAACCCGGGATCGAACCAGGGACCTTTAGATCTTCAGTCTAACGCTCTCCCAACTGAGCTATTTCGGCGCGGCAGCAAGGGGTCGCTCTCGCTCCGACTCCGCCCCACGCCACACGCCGGCGCGCAAGCGCAGTTCGTCTGGTGTGTGCCGGGTGCGCATGCCTCGTAGGGTTCCTCAAGAAAGAGAAATATAGCGTCGTCTCTGTGGCGCAATCGGTTAGCGCGTTCGGCTGTTAACCGAAAGGTTGGTGGTTCGAGCCCACCCAGGGACGTGCAATATTTTGCTTCTAAAAATAAACGGCTACAGAAACTCTGAAAAAGAACTGCGCGCTCCCGCCGCGCGTGCGCGACAGTGCAGTCCGAAAGCGTCAGGGAACCTCCCAGCCCTGGGTTGGCGTTTCCTCCTGTTTTTAGGCCACGGTCCCCGTTACCCGGAACGTTCAAGAGGACGGACCGGAGAGGTTGTCTGAAGGCCGAGGCCAAGATGGCGGCGCTGCTGGGTGAGTGCGGGGCTGGCGGGGAGGCCGGTGTGCAGGAAGCCCGCTCCCTGCACGCCGATCCCGCTCGGGGAAAGCACAGGCCTCAGGCCCGCGGCCCCCGCGCGCTGCGTGCGCCCGGCGCTGCTGGAGGTCACCCCGCGGGCGGACACGGGGCGTCCTCGGGCCGCCGGGCCAGCCGCTGTCCCCCCGGCGGGGCTGGGCACTGACCCCCGGGGTTGTTCTCCGCAGCCTCCAGCCTGCCGTGTGTCCGCGCCCTCGGCCTGCGGTGAGTGTCCGCCTGCGGGGCAGAGAGGACGGGCGGTCGGGAGGGTGGCCAGGCGGACCCCAGCCCGTGCTGCCCGGGGTCAGGGGGCGAGGGCCTGACCCTGCATGCTGCCCGGGGTCAGGGGGCGAGGGCCTGACCCCCTGTGCTGCCCAGCGTGTGACGGCTGGGTGCCTATCCACCCCCCCTCGAGCCATGGTTCCCAGAGAATGCCTGCATTGTGGCCTCACATGGACACACACTTGGGGAAGTGGGTGACAGGACAGGGAGCATGAGGTCCCCTAGGGGTACAGGGGTCACTGGCTGCTGACCAGGGGTGTCTGCTCTGCAGGGCGGGCATGGGGGCGGCACTGCAGGTGCGCAGCGTACAGCAGAGCGTGGCCGTGGAGGGCCCAAGCAGGTGAGCATGGTGATGGGTGGCAGGGGGCAGGAGGGTACACCTTGCAGTAGGACTTCCTGAGAACTAATGGGTGGCCAGCCGTGTCCTCTGCTCTCTGCCCAGCCCCATCTGGCATGTCCTGGCCTCAGGCTTGCAGGCGCCCAGCAGAGCCAGGAGCAGCTGCCTTGGCCGACCTGAGCTAGACGCTTCCTGCCAGCAACTCTGAGACACTGCTATGGGGCTAGGCTCGTACTGACAGCCCCCCTACTCTGTACCCCACTTTGTCCAGCACCCAGCCCGCCGTGCCCAAGCCAGGAGCTGTCGCCCCCAAACCCCCCGCACTGCCCCGAAGCCGTGGCGAGTATGTGGTGGCCAAGCTGGACGACCTCATCAACTGGGCACGCCGGGTGAGCCTCGCATGCTTGCCCTGGGCTCTTTGGCCGGCCCTTTGCCTGGGCAACCTGCCACCCACGGGCTGTGTCCCCCGTCCCTGGCTCCTGGAGGGCCCCTCACCCCCAAGAGACTGCTCCACAGCATCAGTACCCCATGACGCTCCCTCTGGCTGCCATCAGTGGATCCTGGAGCCTGGCACTGCCATGCAGCATCACTGGACGCCTCGCTCCACGTGGGACCAAGCTCTGCTGGCCTGGCCGTGACAGCCGAGTCCCCTTATGCCCTATTGACAGCCAAGCATGAGGCTCCCACCCCTGGGTTGGTCTGCCCTGGGGCATGTCCCAGGTGGCCCCCGGGGACACTGAGCTGGAGGGTTTCAGTGGGGCCGTGGCATGCCATGAGGGCCAGGCTGGGGCTGCATGGATGCCAGGGGCACCAGGCCCGGTCAGGTGTGATGGGGTTGTGGCCATGAAGGTAGGGGTGTACCCTCTTGCATGTGAAACCCCACAGGGGCCGTGCCTGACCCCAACCACCCACACAGAGCTCGCTGTGGCCCATGACGTTTGGCCTGGCCTGCTGCGCTGTGGAGATGATGCACATGGCGGCGCCACGCTATGACATGGATCGTTTCGGCGTGGTCTTCCGTGCCAGTCCGCGCCAGGCCGACGTGATGATCGTGGCCGGCACACTCACCAACAAGATGGCCCCGGCACTGCGCAAGGTGGGCCACGCACGTCCCTTCCCACCACCCCGACCATCCTCGGCCAGCCCCGGCCGCGTGCCAACTCCGGCCGCGTGCCAACCTCAGGCCCCGCTCTCCTCCCAGGTGTACGACCAGATGCCAGAGCCCCGCTACGTCGTGTCCATGGGCAGGTGAGCGTGACCTGGGCCGTGCCCAGAAGCACCCCCAGCTTGCTGCTGCAGTCCCCCGGCTGTCTTACACTCGTGTCTCTGTTCCCCGGGAGCTGTCCACTGTTTGTGTGCTGTCCAGCTCATGCTTTCAAACTCACAGGTCGTATAGCCATCACTTCTGGATAGTTCCAGAACATTCTGTCCCCCAGGAGGAATCCTTGGCCCTTAAGTGGTCACTCGATTCCTCCCTTCTCGGGCCCTTGGTGCCCGGGAACCCACTTCCCGGCTTTACCTGTTCTGAACATTTTGGGTCAGTCGGGTCCACAGAGCAAGCATGAGGTCCCCGGTCCCCCCAACTTTTAGCAAAGTCCAGAACCTCATACCTTCCCGGCAGCCCGTGGACAGACCAGGCCCCTCATCTTCAACACTGGAGAACATTCTAGAGCTTGGCCAGCCCCAGTCACTGGACGCTCAGCTGTCCCTACTTCGTGAGGGGTTGCACCTGGCAGGGACCAGGCAGGGGCGAGCTGGTGCCGTCACCCCGCTCACGGCCTCTTCCCCGCAGCTGTGCCAACGGCGGCGGGTATTACCACTACTCGTACTCGGTGGTGAGGGGCTGCGACCGCATCGTGCCCGTGGACATCTATGTGCCAGGTGAGGTGCCCAGCCGGTGCCCTTCCTGCCCCGTGGGAGCTGCCCGCCTAGGCTCCTCGGGCGGTGGCAGCTGAGGTGCCGGTCCCCCCTCCAGGCTGCCCACCCACGGCCGAGGCCCTGCTCTACGGCATCTTGCAACTACAGCGCAAGATAAAGAGGGAGAAACGACTCAAGATCTGGTACCGCAGGTAGCACTGCCGTCGCTGCTGCTGCTGCCGCCGCCGGAGCCAGCCTGTCCGAGCACCCCAATAAAGCTGCCTGGACGCCTGCACCCCTGTGTGTTCAGTGGCGGGAGGGGCCAGGAGGGGGACACACGGGGCTGAGCCCCGGGCCCCCGCAGGGTCTAGCTGCTGCTGAGGGGCCTGTCCCCCCGCTGCAGGCAGGGCCCAGCCAGCCTGTGCTCTGGTCCATACCTGCCCGGGCTTGGGACGTGGGGTGTGGCTTATGTCCCTGTGTAGCTCCACCCTGTACCCCACGCCCCAGGTCAGGCCCTTCACGCTTTGGAGACTGTCAGGCCATTATGCTGTGACGAGGGTGGGGACTGGCTGGTGGGTCAGCTGGGGGGGCCACGGTGGGTGGGGAGCTGGCTTGGGGCCTTCAGGGCTAGACAAAAAGATAAGGCCAGAGTGGGACCAGCTGGCACGTGGGGGCAGTGGGTGGGGGCAGGCCTCAGGGCCCAGGAACCAGCCTTGGTATCCCCAGGGTGGGGTGGCGGTAGCTGGACAGTGCCCCTGGGTAGCCAGCCAGTTGTGAGCATGCCCCCAGACAAGTGCGAGGATCAGTGGGCAGCAGGCCATAGTGAAACCCCTGCCTGAGCCCAGTGGGCTATCTCTAGAACCCTGTGCCCTCTCCTCTGGGCTAGCCCCTACAAACATGCAAGGGGTGTCATCGCCCAGTCCTGACCAACTCATGGCTGTGGGGCAGTGCCTACCAGGGCCCCCCCGAGCAGCATCAGGACCCGCAGAGGGCAGCCACGTCCTCTGGCCAGGGGCAAGGGAGGAGTTGTGGGAGCAGAAGTGACTGGCCAAGCCCCAGTGGACATTTATTTCCTACCCCGCCCCAGCTGGAACCCCGAGGGGGCGTCCCCGCTGCCATAGCCAGAGGTTCAATGCTTGATGACACGGGGCGTAATCATCTGCGGGAAGGCGTAATAGCGGCAGGTGGCCGGCGGGGCCAGCGCCATGACCTCGGTGCGAATGTTCTCACGGCGGAAGCCGGCGTCCAGCAGCGCGGGCACCTGCGTCTCCTTGGGGGGGGCAGGGAGAGAGGGGCAGTCACTGGCGGCTGCAGCCTCACCCCGTGCCCACACACAGGGCTAGCGGGGAAGGCCCATGGTGCAGGTGGCTCTTGGTGGGGGGTGAGGAGGTAGCATCCCCTTCCCAGGCCCCCCCCTGCCAACCCAGGTCCAAGGAAGGGGCGGCTGCGGCACCTCGAACATGGCAGTGATGTCTGAATACTTGGATTTCATGAGTTCGCCCCAGGACGTGAGGTTGCAGTAGGTGAGGACCCCACCAGGCTTCAGTAGGCGGAAGGCGTGATTCTGGGGGGTCGGGTGGGGGGCAGCAGTCAGCAGGGGTGTCCTGGGTCTGTGGGGCACACCCCTCTATTCCACCCTCCGGTCTCCCAATGGTGCCAGGTGGCCCACCTTGATAAAGTTGAACTGGTGGGTATGCCAGGTCTCCTCTGACAGTGGGTACGTGTCATATAGGATGCCTGCATGGCGGGCAAGGCCACATGGTCAGGGCCATCTGACCCAGGTTTGCCGGGCACCTGCACACCCCCCCCACGCCATGCACCCTCACCATCAAAGTGTCCGTCAGGCAGGGTGGGTGCCACTTCCTCCCACAAGCCCTTCAAGGGGACCACCTGGGAGAGGCGGAAACGGAAGGGCCAGGGTCAGTCGGAGGAGCCCTGGCCCCTTGGTCCCCTGCCCCTCCCCGGGCAATAGGGAACAACACCTTGTGAGGCTGCTGCTGGGCCCAGTCCTGCAGCCGCTGGAAGACCCCATCGTTGCATTCGATGATCCAGTGCTCGTCAATGGGCGCCTCCTGCACCTTGGAGGCTGCGATGGCCATGCCGAAGCCCACCTCCAGGACGCGGCCCCCTGGGCAGGGCAGGGAAACAGGGATACCCAGCTCGGCCGCTGCCCCGCTGGGACAGCGCCAAGTGGAGGCAGACAGAAGGCCTCTGTGCAGCAAGTTCTGAGCGAGAACAGAGTGGGTGCTGGCCGCCAGCCAGGGCGAGGGGGGCAGGGCAAGGGGCCTGGATGGTGGACAAGGTCACAGCCTTGGACTTTGAGCCTGTCCCTTGGCCCTTATCTGGCTTTGGTTACTTTTCCAGCCCCTGCCTCCCAGCTCTGGAGTGGCGCGGTTCCAGGGGGAGGCCGCCTACGGAACCCGCACCAAGAGTGGGTAGGAGCCTAGATGGAGCCTGGCTCGGCTGGGCCTGGCCACTGGCAGGATCTGTTTGGGGGGCGCGCCTCTTCTCGTCCTCAGGTGCCAGTAGCAGGCTGGGCAGGGCGCCCGATCCCCACAGCACAGCTGCGCCGTGCTCAGCTTTCCCCAAGCTATTCTTAGGGTCGGGCAGGATCTCGCAGATGGTCCATTCCCTGCGTCCACGCACAATGGCCAGGGACCTCTGGGGAGCCCGACGCTCAATGCCCTGCGGGTTTCTGCATCCAGAACTTCCCCCTGAGAGAGGCGGGGCCTCCGGACCCCCAGAGGGGCTGTGGTCCATCCCTCCCCGGGCTACCTGCAGCCGAGGCGGCGACCGCCAACGAGTGCATGTAGGGTGTCTCCCAGCGTTCCATCACCGGCTTGCCCAGGATCCGCAGGTGCGCGTCGGCCGAGTCGTAAGCCGCAGGCGCCGCCTGCCACGCGGGAGTGCAGTTCTCGCCAGGCGCGAAGATGGGGGTCGCGGCGGGCACACTCATGCTGGTGCGTACCGTTGGGTGTCCGGCCCAGGATCTGACGCGCCCGAGGTCCCGGGGCCCTGCACAGCCTTCTGGGCATGGGGGCGGGCCTGTGGGACGGACCCACGAGCACGGCGGCCCCTAGTGGCCGCTGGGCTGGCCGGGCAGGGCTGGGGTCCCCGTTCCACCGAGCCGCTAGGCAGTGCGCACCCGGCCTGGGGTCCCCACGGCTGCTGCTTCCTAGGAAGGAACAGGGGGACGTGAATTCAGACCCTTGCTTTGTCTCGTGGGGCCTCACTTTCTCCTGGGGTCTTGGGGTCCAAAGATTTTGGATCGCCCAGCTGCTGACACCCTGCTTGGGGACTGGCAAAGCTATCAGGGCAGGGGTGGAAGTGGTGAGCAGACAGGTGCCAAGTGGTGGGGGCCAGGGTGGGAACCTTGTCAGCCCCCTTGGACCACCCCTGAACTGCTGGGCATGGACATGCATACTCCACAGCCCTCCTGGAAGCAGCATCTAATCCCAGCTTGGCCCCACAACCCAGGAAGTGTTCCTGGGTGGGGTTGGGGATGTGGACTTTACCCGCTAGGCTAAGCACCAGGCCCAAGATTCTACCTTTGAAAGGGAAACATCTTAGGAGCTGATGTGATGGCTCAACTGACTAATCCTCCAGCTGCCAGTGCTGGTATCCCACAGGGGTACTGATTTGTGTCCTGGCTGCTCTACTTCCCATCCAGCTCCCTGCTTTTGTGGCTTAGGAAAGCAGTCAAGGACGGCCCAAAGCCTTGGGACCCTGCACCCACGTGGGAGACCCAGAAGAAGCTCCTGGCTCCTGGCTTTGGAACGGCTCAGCTCTAGCCATTGCGGCTGCCTGGGGAGTGGACCAGTGGGCAGAAGATCTTCTGTCTCTCCTCCTCTCTGTGAATTTGCTTTTGCAAAAGGAAAAAGAAAGGCAGGTACAGTGTCCAACGCACGCAGGCTCCCGTGAGTTCGTCCCATGAGCCCTCATCACAGCTGCCACGCTGGGCATGGCAAGGAGCATTTTCGCCAACTTACCTCACTTTAGGCATGCCCTGGGCTGTCTTGCCAAGGCCTGGATGCCAGGCTGTGAGCGCCACCACGCGGCTGTGGCAGGAGGTGGCATGAGGGGCTCTCAGGGGTCAGCGCCTGGGGAGCTGAGCTGCAGCGTCCATTCCCACAGCACCGGGAGCTGTCGGCCTTGCCATGTGGGTGCCTGGTGTGACACTGGCGGCTGAGGGAGCCTAGGAGAGCAACCCAGGCTGTCCCATGGCTGGATGCTGGTGGCTAATCTGAGAAAAGACGCTCTCTTTGCCTCACCGGTAATTTCTGCTGGTTGGAAGCCCAAATGGGGGACATACATAGCTCCAAATGGGGGACCCCTTGCTGGTCGCAAAGCCCCACTGGGGCCTCCCCACGGTTGTTTGCACCCAGCAAGAGGCCTGTTTATTTCTGGGTGTTCTGTTACCTCCTAGTGGCCAGCCAGGAGGCTGCCCGCTTCCAGTCCTGCCTGGTTCGGCTCCCAGCTGACCAGCACCCTGTGAGGCAGCACTGCAGGGCCCGCCACTCCCATGGGAGACCCCCAGGGAGTGCCAGTATCCCAGGTGTGGCCCAGTCCAGCCCTGGCTGCTGTGGGCATGTGGGAGGGAATCAGTGGATTGGAAGCGCCTCTACCTTCCACACAAAACAAAAATACATACAAATGTAGCGGTGGGCATAGTGAATTCAGCCGCCAACTACAGTGCCAGCCTCCCATTAGAGGTGCCAGTTTGAATCCCGGTTGCTCCACTCTGACACAGGTCCCTGTTCACGGCTTGGGAAAGCAGTCGAGGATGGCCCAAAGCCTTGGGACCCTGAAGAAGCTCCTGGCTTCAGATCAGCTCAGTCCAGCCTTTGTGGCCATTTGGGGAGTGAGGTCCCTGCCCCTCTCTATAATTCTGTCTTTCAAGTAGATCAAGGTAACTTCTAAAAATACTAAGCCTTTAAAAAGAAATAAAAGTTATGTTGGTGGTAAGTTTTATGTATCTTTGAGCATAAGAAAGGGCTGCCAGCTGTGTGTGTGTGTGTGTCAGGTATGTGTGTGTACACCCCATGTGTCAGGTGTGTGTATTCCTGTCAGCAGGAACTCACACACGTGTTCCGAGGCATGCGGTCCACTTATCTGCTGTGGTCACAGGGTCTGCCCTGGGTGGGAGGGAGGAGTTGAGGGGAGGAGGGAGAGCAGACCCCCCCAGCCAGTGGGAGGGGATGTCTTTGTTTTAAACCCTTTGTGCCCGACTTCCTGCTTCCTACCACATCCTGTGGGCTCCCCGTGCCACCCAGCCCTCCCTGCACCCGGAGGTGGATGGTCACGGGGGCACCCCTGCAGACTGCCACAGCGGGCGTTCGGAATGAAGTCTGCTCCACGCCTGGGTGACACACACCTGACACGCACAGGGACACACACATACACACCAGGCCTGTCCAGCGTCCACTGCTCTCCGTGGGGTGGGTGCTGGACTACCTACCCACACTGCCAGGGCAGGCCCGGGCTGCACACCCATGCTGCAGCCCCCGCCCACACACACCATTCCTCGGTCACTGACCCAAGTGCCCCTCTGGCTGAGGACAGTGCTCAGGGCCTTGTGTCCGGTGGGATGTGCCCGTCCTCTGTGGCCACTGCCGAGGGGCGACTAGACCACAGGGCCCAGTTGCACCACCCATGCCTTGACCTTGTGGTGGAGAACGCCTGCATGGGAGTGGAGGCAGGTGTCCGTGTAGTGGGGTTAGCTGGGCCTGGGCAGCCTGGACCCCTGGGGTGCGTGTGTGTGTGTGTGTGTGTGTGTGTGTGTGTGTGTGTGCTGCACCAGGCGTAGTCTCCACCCTCGCAAGCAAGCTGGGTCTGCCCGCATTGTGTCTCCCCTGGGCCGGGCGTGGGTGGGTGGCAAGCAAACTCAAATCCCCCCCCTGGAGAGGTGGCCAGTGGACGGAACTCAGATTTTGATCGGTGGCTTCGCCTGTGCTCCAGTCAGGCCACCCCGATCCCTGGGGGGGACACGCCACTCAGCTTGAGCCTGTAGTAGTAGGGTGCAGCTGGCTAACGGCACCCCAAAGCTGTGTGTGCTGTGTGTTTGCAGCGATCTGCACCCGATGGGCTGAAGATGCGAGTTGATGTGTGTGATGGAGGAGTGCGTGGGCCATGAGCGCGGCAACGTGTGTGTCTTCAAAGCACGGTCAACATCTTCCCCTTCCCTACCACGTCACAGCCTCCACGCATGCGCGGCCCGAGCCCCGGGAGGGGGCCCCCCTCCCTCCTCCACACACGCGCGCGCGCGGACGGACTCCATTTCCCGAAAGGCACCACGCGCGCGCACGCACGGCGTGGCACCCCTGGCCCCGCCCCCGGAGGCCCCGTGCGGGAGCGCGCGCGGGCGTGCGCAGGGGCGGCGGCGCGGCGGCGCGGGTACGCGCGGTGACCGTTGGCGCTGAGGGGAGGAGGAGGAGGAGGAGGAGGAGGAGGCTCGGCCGCCGCCGCCGCCGCCGCCGCCGCCGCCGCCGCCGCCGTTGCGCAGATCCGGGCCGCGGCTGGAGGGGAGGGCGACGGGAGCGGGTGACCTTCCGGAGGCGGGAGCGAGCGCCGAGGCCCGGGGGACGCCGAGCGCCGCCGCCGCCGCCGCCGCCGCCATGAACAGCTCGGGCGCCGACGAGATCGGGTGAGGACGGGCCTGCGGCGCCGGCCACCCCGGGCTCCGCAGACGCCGTGTCCCCCGGGCCGGGCTGTGTGTGTGTGTGTGTGTGTGTGTGTGTGTGTGTGTGTAGGGGGAGCCGCCCCGTCAAGGTCACGCCGGCCGTGGGCTGGGGGGGCAGGGCGGTCTGCGGGAGAGAATGTTCGGGGCGCCCTCGGCAGCAGCGGCGGCACCTCCCGACTTCCTGGTCAGGGCTCCCCCCCCCACCCGTCCCGGGAATGGGGGGACCTGGCTGTCTAAGGGCGGGGAGGGCAGTCCTGGAAGTGGGGTGTGTGTGTGTGTGAGGTGCCCGGGGTGCCCGGGGTGCCCGCCGCCGTTGCACTTTCCCCACAGTGAGGTCCTGGGGAGGGAGGGTGACGGTGGAGGCGGGGGGCCGGCTCTGAGGGGTGCTTCATTTGGTGGTGGTGGTGGGGGGGGTGGTTCACTGATGGCTGATGGAGCTGGGATTGGGAAGACACCCCCCAGAATAGGGATCTGGAGCTGCAGGGTGCCCCCCCTCTACACACACACACACACACACACACACACACACACACACATCTTGCACCAGCTTGGCGGGCTGCTGCACGTGGCGGGCCCGGCTGTGGGTTTCGGTTGGGTCTTCGTCGTCATCCGTCATCCGTCACCTTACCTTGGGGCCCCGCCTGCACCCCTCCCCTGGCGGGGCCTTGGGTCCCTGGGGGAACCTGTCCTTCCGGGGACTGGGGTGCAGAAGCAGGTGCACAGCTGGGTCCCCCCCACCTGGTTTCCTGCCAAACCTGGAGGTGGTGCGGTGGGGTGGGGGGGCCAGGGACACCCCTGTGGCTCAGCCAGGACTGGGGGGGGGATGGGGTGCCCCAGGCCTTCTCCGGGGCCGCCCAGATGGCCCGAGGTTTAAAGTTCTAAGTTGCCACAGGAAAGGCACTGACAGGCCGAGTCTTGCTGGGGGACGCGGGCAAGTCCAGGGACGTGTGTGCCCCGGCTGGGGAGGCCCTGTCGTGCGGGGAGCCCACGGTACAGAACAGGGGTACGGGGGTGCTGAGGTGCAGGCAGAGCTGCCCTGAAGCCCACAGTGGTCTATCCCCTCTGCCCACAGGCTGCCCCGTGCCAGGGCTTGTGGGGTGGGGAGAGAAGGCTGGTAGGGGGGTCCCCACTGATCGGATGGCCAGCCAACAACAGACTGATTTCTCCCAATTGCACACGATGAATGACCCATCCTGCTGGAGGGAGGCAGAGACCAAGCCCTTGGTGTCAGGAACACGGGGTATGCGCACATATGCTCAGACATACATGTATACGTGCACGCAGGCCTGCACACGCACACACGTGTGTGCAGACACCTGCCTGCCATGTGTGCTGAGGCTGGCCAGCACCCCCACGCTTGGGTGGAGGGCTGCCCGCTGTGGTCCCGCCTTCCTAGAGGGGTCTTGGGGAGTAGGTGGCTGGTGCAGGGTGTCTGGGAACCAGGGGCAGAGCGTGAGGACGTGCAGGCCATGCAGAGTAGGCAGGGGGCAGGAAGGGGCCCTGCAGTGGAGTGGAGTGGTTCTCAGGCAGCCTGGGCACCGAGTAGCCTGGCCAGGAGCCCGGCCTGCCTCAGACAGCTGGGGTCGGGGCAGCGATGTATCTGCTGGTGAGAATGAACTTTCGTCTGCTTGGTCGCTCCCTCAAGGACACTTGGGCTGGACCAGGCGGAGGCGGGGTGTCCCCAGGTCCCCCCTGGAGCATCCCCGGGCACACAGCAGGAGCTGGGGCAGAAGCAGAGCAGCTGGGACTGGCAGTACTGTGGAGCAGGCCTTTGGGAATGTCTTTGGTGAAAGTTGGCGAGGATGTGTCCTCAGATGGGCATGGCCTGCCCAGCTGCCCAGCGTGGCCCCTGGGGCTGCCTCCTGTGCTTGGCTCCCATCTTTAGGGGGCTTGTTTTCTGGGGCCATTGGGTTCAGTGGACGTGAGGTTGGAAGCCACTCCAAGCTTCACCTGCCTTTTTAGTTTTTTTTGTAAGATTTATTCATTTTCATTGGAAATGCATATTTAGAAGGAAAAGGAAAGACAGAGAAAGATCTTCCATCCAGGCCCAGCACAGTAGCCTAGTGTCTAAAGTCCTTGCCTTGAACGCCCATATGGGCGCTGGTTCTAATCCTGGCTGTTCTACTTCCCATCCAGCTCCCTGCCTGTGGCCTGGGAAAGCAGTGGAGGCCGGCCCAAAGCCTTGGGATCCTGCACCCGCGAGGGAGACCCGGAAGAGGCTCCAGGATCCTGGCTTTGGATCAACTCAGCTCTGGCCACTTGGGGAGTGAATCAGTGGTGGAAGATCTTCCTCCCTGTCTCTCTTCTCTGTATATCTGCCTTTCCAATAAAAATAATAAATAATAAAAAAAAGATCTTTCATCTGCTGGTTCTCCCCAAGTGGCCGCAATGGCTGGAGCTGAGCTGATCTGAAGCCAGGAGCGTTTTCCGGGTCTCTCACGCAGGTGCAGGGTCCCAAGGCTCTGGGCCGTCCTCCACTGCTTTCCCAGGCCACAGGCAGGGAGCTGGATGGAAAGTAGGGCAGCAAGGACCAAATTGGAGCCCGTATGGATTCCCAGTGCATGCAAGACAAAAATTTAGCCGCTAGGCCATTGCGCTGGGTCCTGCCCTACCTTTCGATGGCTGATTCTGGCCGTGGGCTTCATTGTGCCACAGTGCCGAGGTGCCCAGGTTGCCACTAGCCAGAGGCTCCTCTGCCTTCTGTGGGCCTGTGCCACCTGGGCACTAAACCATCTTGGGAGCCAGGGTGGTGCTTAGGCAGAGGGTGCCTGCCACCTCTGTGTGTGTGTGTGTGTGTGTGTGTGTGTGTGTGTGTGTGTGTGAGTACACTGGCCAGTGGTGCCTGCAGGGGCGTCCCAGGCTCCTGAACAGGGACTTGGGGTGCCCGCACACCTGCTCCCTGGTTCATGTTGCTAAGCCCTGGGAGGCCCATGGCTCCCTGCCCAGCCCCAGCAGGGAGGTAAAACCTCCCACTGACAGCCTGGGGTCTGCATTCTGGGGGTCAGCCTGGGCCCAAGGAAGCCCCCCACCCACCGGGTACAGGGAACAAGAGATTGGTTGAGGCCGCCTCTGGGCTGGGGTGCCAGGGTGCCAGGCCTGGTGGTCCCACGCTCTCCTCTGTTGGTTCAGGCAGCAGGTGGACTCTTGCCACCCCCTCTCCTGCAGGTCCCCCCTGTGCCTGCATGTCAAGCCCTGTTCTCTGTGGCTGACAATTTATGACTTAACTTTAGATTGGGGTGCAGGGGGCGGAGGGGGGAATACGTGGCCGCTGGCTGGGCGCCGTCTCCCACCTGCACTGCCTGTTGTGGCAGGAGACCCTGGGCCTCTGCTGTGGACCCTGCAACCTGCTACTGCTCCCCGCCTCCCCCCAAAACAGAGGTGTCTTTCAGTGCCCATACAGGAGCCCAGCCTAGGGTGCCCAGTTTGGTCAGCTGCCTCCAAAGGGCCAGCTGGCCTCCTCCTCGCTAATACCTACTTTTGAAATTCAAATGAAGGCCGGGACTGGTCTGACCAGTTCCACTCCCCGCTCCAGGTTGGGTTGCTGGCTGGAGGACGCCCGGCTGTGTTGGCGTTCTGTTGGGGCCCTTCCCTGGCTGATTGGGGGGCGGCTCAGGCTGGCCCTGGTGGCTGCGGGCTGCTGCTGGACATCGGGGAGACTGCTGTTCACGTCCTGACTCGTCCCCAGAGGAAGGGGAGCAGGACTGGGCCCTGTGTTTGCTAGGACTGCTCCACGGCCCCCTTTGTGGACTGCCGCCACCAGGCAGGGTTACGCCATGCCTGCCTGCTTCCCGCGTGTCCCTGGAACATGCGTGGAGCTGGCGTGATTTTTTTTTTTTTTTTGGAAAATTTATTTATGTGTATTGGAAAGTCAGATTTACAGAGAGGAGAGACTGAAACACCTTGCATCCTCTGGTTCGCTCCCCAAGTGGCCACCACAGCTGGAGTTGAGCTGTGGGGAAGTGGGGCAAGCTGGGACATGAGCTGGCGCCCGTGGGGGATGCCGGCACAAGCAAGGCGAGGCCTTCAGCCACTGTGGTGCTGTTATCTAAGGAGCTGCAGCAAGGGAGGAGACGGCAAGCTCTCCATCCGCTGACCCCCTCTGTTGCTCTACTCCCCCGTGCTGCCCCGGCCCAAGCCAGCAGCTTCATCCTGGCCTCTGCGTGGGTGGCTGGGCCGCGACCTTCGGGTGCTCTGTGGCATGGGAAGTGGAGCATTGCAGGGGGGATACGAGCTGTTGGGGTATGGGTTACCTGTTGTGTCATGATGCCGGCCCCTGGGGGCTAGCGGCTTGAGTGAGACCAGCAAGGCTCTGGTGGCACCTCCAGGGCCTGGTGACCTGCCACTTAGCACCTGAGGCAGCCACGCTCCGTGGGTGCCGGGATGGGGGGCCCAGTGGCCCATCATCTGAGCTGCAGGGGGAGTGAGCCCGGTACTTGAGGGAGACTGGCCTCACGCAGGCCCATCAGGCACTGGTGCCCAGCTCCACTTACTTCAGAATTCCACTTATAGAATTCCATGGTACACTCCCCTGAAAAGCGTCTGCAGGGGCTCCATGTGCCAGGTGCTCTGAGTCGGAGTGCCCTCTGGTTGTGCCATGGACCTCTCGTTCTGCACCCACACTCGTTACCTGCAGCAGGAGAGCCCTGCCCTGGCACCAGGGCTGGTTCTGTGGTGCCAGCCTGCCGGCATGTCCTCCCCCTGGTCATGGGCCCCGGCAGAGGCTGGCAGAGTGTGGTGGGGGAGTGCCTTGCTGCTTTGCACCGTGGCATCGGGCACTGCCCAGCCCTGACCAGCCTCTTGTTGGCTTGCAGGAAGCTCTTCGTGGGCGGTCTCGACTGGAGTACAACCCAAGGTAGGTGTGGCCAGCTGGCAGGGCCATGGGGGCAGGGGGCCGCGGGATGGCGGGGGGCACAGCAGGGACCAGAAGCTGCCAGTCTCCTGGGGGGGCTGGCCTGAGGGCCACACTGTGCCTTGTATACAGCCCTGTCTGCTCACGCCTGCCTCTCCGTGTCCCCCCCCTTCTCTGAGCAGAGACATTGCGCAGCTATTTCTCCCAGTATGGGGAGGTTGTGGACTGTGTCATCATGAAGGACAAGACCACCAACCAGTCTCGCGGGTTTGGGTTTGTCAAATTTAAGGATCCAAACTGCGTGGGCACGGTGCTGGCCAGCAGACCACACACGCTCGATGGCCGCAACGTGAGTGGCCCGTGAACCCTGCTGTTCATGGGAGGATGTTTCCCAGCATGCCTGAGGGGGGTCTCGACTGGATGGGTCGGGGGCTTCTGTCGCTGACCCTCCCACCCCCTTTCTGAGAGAAAGCAGCCTCGCCTTCATGCCTGGCTGCCTTGCTGCTCCCATAGATCGACCCCAAGCCCTGCACGCCTCGGGGGATGCAGCCGGAACGGACTCGACCCAAGGAAGGCTGGGTAAGGGGCTGGGGATGGGGTTGGGGACCCTACCCCCAGGCCTAGAAAATTCCTGGGAGAGAAGACAGCTCACACCGCCAGCCCTGGTCCTCAGAGGCCTGTGAACCAGCCCTGCTGGGCAGTGGTCGTGACCTTGGCCCGCCCACCCCTGAGCCCTTGGTGGTCGGAAGCTCCCAGGTCCCCTGGCTCAGCCCTGGCCCTTGTCCATTGCATCCGCTGCAGTGGCTGCCGCCTGCTCGGCCAGACCCATTCCTGGCGGCTCGGGCAGCCCTAGGCCTCACCTTCCCCCTCCCTGCGCTCCCTACGTTGGACTCGCCCTTCCCCCCAACCCCTGGTGTCTGCAGGACAGCCCCCAGCACCCACCTCTCCCCAGGCCCTGAGCCCAATTCCCCAGCTGTTCTTGTAGCCAGCTCCAAGCCTGCGGGGAGCAGGGCAAAGCTAAGCCGGCGCTAGAGCCGTCTCCTGTGGGCATCCTGCCCTCCTGGTTCAGGGGGCCAGTCTTCGAGGCGTTCCCCCAGCTCCCAGGCCCTGGGGGACTGTCCTGCGGGTACAGCTCCAGCATGCCCCTGCAGCCACCATGGTCAGGGCACGGGCCTGTTGGCTTAACCCCAAGTAGCTGGGCCAGCGTGTCCCAGGACCGCACCCCGGCGACAGAAGATCACACCTGAGCTGGGAGAACACGACATTCGGCTCGGGGGGCCCTCAGAGCACCTGCAGGCTTGGCCCCTCGGGTCCCTCGGTGGGTTTTGGGGGACCCAGGCGTGAGCTGACCGGTGCCTCTTGTCCTCAAAATAGCAGAAAGGAACCAGGAGCGACAGCAGTAAATCCAACAAGATATTTGTCGGGGGCATTCCTCACAACTGTGGGGAGACGGAGCTGAGGGAGTACTTCAAGAAGTTCGGCGTGGTGAGTCCCCTAGCCGGCGGGCGGCCCCTCCATGGCCTGGCAGGGCCCCATAGGGGACGGGACCCCTGTGGCATTGGCATGGCTCCATGGGGGACAAGACCTCCACGGCCCTGGCATGGTCCCACAGTGGACGGCCTGGCATGGCCCCACGGTGGATGAGACCCTTACGGCCTGGCCCCTGGGGGTCTCTGGTTTGGCAGTTGGTGTAACTCATCTGCCCTTCCAGTGGTGGAAGGCGCAGGTTGTCGGGGTTAGTGGGGGTCAGAGGAGCCAGGCCTGGCGTGGTCAGTGGGGACCCTCCTGGCCTGTCCTTGGTGCCGGAGGGACAGTAGTGCTGGGCTGTTCACCCCAGCGGGAGTTGCTGCATGCAGATGGGGTGTCTTCCCAGTCGGGGGAGCCCCTGCTGATTGATGGGATTCACTGGGAAAGGCAGTGTTCCTGGGGGGGCTCGGGGCTGCTGAGCCCAGGGTGGCACGCGTGGCCCTCGGCTCTGCTGTGCCCTAAGGTACTCCAGGCTGGGGACCTGGCTCCACCACCTCTGGGGCTCAACGTGGCCGTGCCCCAGGCCAGCTTCCCGTCCCTGTCTGAGCGGGGCAAGTTCTTGAGGGGGCCCAGCTGAGACCCCACGGGAGCCTGCCCTGTGCACGGGGTCGGCCGCAGCCCGTGCCTGCTCGGGGCACAGGTGCCCAGGGTCACAGTGGGCCTCACGCGACCGTCTCCTCTCCAGGTCACCGAGGTGGTCATGATCTATGACGCGGAAAAGCAGAGGCCTCGAGGTAAAGGCAGATCTAGTTTGTCCCTCAGCCTGTCCACCCCCTCAGATGGCAAACTATCCCGCTGTCAGACACGTTCAGGTGCCGGTGTAGCCATGGCCTCCGGGACAGGATGACTGGGGGACGGACTAAAATGTAGGCAGCCCCCTGCCCCGCCCCGCCGGCTGCGGGGGCTCCCCGGGTCACACCCGACCCCCACTGGGTTTTGGGGCTGTTTGGCCGGGGCTCACTGCGCCCCACCAGGCGCGGGCAGTGCCCACCCAGCCCGGCTCGCTGCAGACACGCACTGCGGAGCCTCGCCATGCTCCCGCCCTTTTCTTCCCTTTCCCCCCTTGTGGGATTTTTTGTTTGTTTTTATTTTTTCTTGTTTTTTTTCCCCCCATGCTCCCACCCCCTTTCATCCACTTGAGTCAGGTGGGAGGAGAGTGAGCGACCCCGTGGCCCCGCACCATCTCCGAGCGGCCCTCGCTCATGTGCTCTGTGGTGCTAGGGCAGCAGACACCCCGTTTCCCTGCCCCCCCGTCGTTTTTTTTTTTTTTTTTTTTTCTGTGGCCGCTGCCATTTGTCCTGGTCCACCTGTTGGGGGCCAGCCGCGGGGTCCGGCACCCAGCCCTGGCCCAGAGCGCGGGGCGCCCCCCGCAGCATGCCCGCCGTGCGGGATATAGTTTGCCATTTGAACGTGTCAGGAGCCCGGCCCTCGCTGTCTCGGTTAAGCCTTAAGTCTTAGTGTTACTTTGACTTAGCCGTACATGCTTAGTACCGTATGTAAGTGTTTGCTAGTCAAGTACAGTAATGTTAAATAAGTAAGTCGTTTCCTTCTCTCTGTGGATTGTTTGTGATTAATGATGTCTCTAGATTTCTCCTCTCCAGGTGCTAAGTGATACCACACAGGTACAGGCCAGCCCGCAGCCAGAGGAGGGAGCCGCTTCGCTCCCGTGGGGTGTAAACGAAGTTTCAAAGTGTTTGTCCCACTTCCTCAGTGCCGATGGCGCCCGTCACAGACAGACACATTCCCAGACAGCCATCCCGGGGGGTCCCGGGGGGTCCCGGGGGTCCTGGGAGTCCAACACTCCTGCCGTTGGAGACCATGGCAGCCTCACCCATGCTGTGTGCAGACACCGTCTCCCGTCTCGCCAGCCTCGGGGGGCGGGGGGGCACCCCCGGGCTGCTCCCCGTCCCTGACCCCGGCCTCGGGTTCCCGGGGACCCAGCCGTAGCCAAGTGCTGCCAAGCCCGTGCGCCTGGGGGTGGGGTAGTGCTTCAGGACTGGCGCTGCGGGCACGTGGGGCCACATGGTGTGCCCCCCGGTTCCAGGGCTGCATGCAGACAGGGGGGCCACAGGCCCTCCGCCCCCTGCCTTCTCCTTCCTTGCAGAGCCCCGAGCGAGGCCCCTGCTGGCCTAGCTGAGGTCACGGCCGCCCCCTTGCCTCACCTGGGCCTCGTGCTTGCTGCCCCCACTGCTTCTGCCACGCACCCCTTCGATCCTGGGAGTCCTCCCGGCTTGGGGCTTTGATCTCTGTGCTCCTCCTTGGTGACGGGCCCCCGTTCCTGTCTCCTGCCATGATGGCGCTGCCGGGGCTCCTGCCCCACCGTGGGCTTCTCCCTGGGCCCCGTTATCTGCCTGCTGGCCCCAGCACGGGTGTCTCCGGGCTGCACCTCCGTTGTCCCACTGCCGCCACCCCGGGCCCCACCCTGTCCCTGGCTCTGTCCACTCCCATCCGTTTGTTCTTTGGTGGTCTCAGGCCGCCCTCCCACTGGCTCGAGCCCACCCCGGCCCTCCCCACCCAGAACAGTCAGCCTGTTAGCTGGGGGCAGGGGGGGCTGCACTTAACCCCAGACCAACCAAACTTCGTTTATACTGCCACTTCCTCGTGTTTGGGAAATGCTAAATTTTGAGTCCCTGAAAATGTTGTGACTCGGCGGTGCCTCTTGCTCCTGCTGCTGACGGCAGTTTGAGCTGCTGGATTCCGTGTGGCCTGTATCTCTGTGCACTGCCTCCTCTGTCATAGACACAGCTACCGTACATAGAGATGTCTAGGGTAGACGTGTATATGGATGTGAATGTAAACGCGGCCGGCTCCCTGCGCGTGGGACCCGCGACGGCCCGGTGGGCTTACCCAACCGCGTTGGATAAGCTGGCGAGGGGCTCGCCGTGGTAGACGCGGCCGCGGAGCGCTCTAGAACGCTGTGTGGCTGCTGCCAGCACTGGCTGCCAAGCAGACGGGCGCCAAGGGGGTGGACGCGGGCTTCAGAGAAGCGATGCACGCACACACACCGCCCCGGGCCGCCCGGCCCCTGCCCTGTCCTCCCCGGCCCCAGGTGGCCCGCACAGTGGCTTGGCTGAGGCCCCGGTGCCCCCTTGGCGCCCCGAGTTGTCATCGTCCTGTTTTGTGTCACAACACCCTGCTACCTTGATTCACTCTTGGTCGTTGGCTAGGTTTTGGATTTATTACTTTCGAGGACGAACAATCAGTGGACCAGGCTGTCAACATGCATTTTCACGACATCATGGGCAAAAAAGTGTGTAGTTGTAGTTTTATTTTACCTTAAGACCAGACCAAGCCTCAGCCAACCAAGGGGTTTCACTGGCAGGGGCGGGCCGGGGGGCGGGCGGCCCTGGGCCTGGCTCTGGGAGCCCTTCCCTCCGCAAGGCCGGGGAGCAGTGAGGGGCGCTGGCGGGGGGCGAGCCGGGGTGTGGGGGGGGTGTGGGGAGTGAGCCTCCAGTGAAATCGCAGAGTTGCCTCAGGCTTGGTCCCCGTGACCTCTCCTTCAGATGTCCGCCCCGTCCCCTGGCCCGGCCTGGCCCCCCTCCCCCCGTAATGCACTGAGCAGGGGGCCTCCGACCCCCGCTGCTGCCCCTTCAGAACCGGAAACATCCTGAAGGATTGGTTTTCAATTGGGTCACTTACTGTGAAACTCCGGGCCAGCACATGCTCTCGACAGTGTTTAACCACCATGCAGTCAAGTGACCGCCGGTTGTTTCATCTTCATACTGTGTTGTTGCCACGGAGGTGACAGGGACAGGAAGCCGCCCCCATCCTCCCCCGTCCCGGCTGCTCCACAGCCCAGACTCTGGGGGCTCGACCTGTCGCTTTCCTGGGACCCTCGGAGCCCTGGGGAAGTTAGCTCCACAGGGAGTCGCTCCTGGGGTTGTGGGCTGTGCTCCCAGCCCCCTCCACATTCTTGCAGGATTCCTGTCCTGGTTTGCAGCCCCCCTCCTCCCAGTGCACCCCACCGGGCTGGGCTGCCTTGCCCCAGTGCCAAGTGGAGCCGGCTCTGGGGCGGCTTGGATTGCAGACTCTGTTTAGTTCCCCAATCAGGCGCTCGCTGCAGCTTAGAACTGGCATGTGCCGCACCCCAGAGTCTGCGAGGAGTGTTTTTAATAAGGTCCTGTGACCTGAACTTGTGGGTCAAGCTTGGCCTTGCTGGCCGGAGCAGGACGGGCCTGCCCGGGGTGTGTCTGCCTTCTGGTCCCTGGCACCTCCCTGGGCGCCCCCAGCCCTGTGGAGCAGGAGGCGAGCCTGCCTGCCCCGACCATCCCCCAGGGGAGGGTGCAGGAAAGCCCCCCCCGGCCTTCTTGGCCCACCTTGGGCCCTCTGCACCCCAGGCGAGGGTGAGCGAGGCTCCTGCCCTGGCATTGCCCTGCAGGGTGCTCTCACACACTGGGCAGGCAGGGCTCCGAGCTGTGGCTATGCTTGTGCCCGGCAGTGCCCTGCAGGTCCCGGGCTGGCTTCAGCGGGCTTGCTACCCCTGTGCTCCCGGAAAGCTGTCAGGAAAGGGAGAAGCTAGGGTTCCTGGGTGCCAAGGCCACCCTGGGGTTGGGCATGTGAGTGGCCGGCAGCTCTGAGCGAGGGAGCCGCCATGCCGGGCAGTAGGGGAGGCCCAAGGTGCCCACGGTGCGTGGCGCCCCTGCCACGAGCAGGGAGGGCCCTGGCTGCCCAACACAGTATGAAGATGGCCTACTCACTCCGATGTCCGTTCTATTGCATGTCTGTTGACTTTTGTTAGATGTAATGTAAGATTCTCTTATCACGTCCATTCCCTCTGACATGATTTTGAGTTAATTGAGATTCTTTAAGCGGTAGCCTGGGGAAGGTAAGTCTTTATCTTCCATTAGACATTTTAAATAAAAACCTAAGTTAAAAAACCAAGTGTGTTTCTCAGGTATGAACTCCAAACTTGGGGTGGTCCTGCGGCCCCGCGGCGCCCCTGCCAGCGGGGCCTGGCTCAGGGCAGGGGTGGGTGGCCATGAGGAGCCTGTCCCCCACGAGATCTGAGGGTCCCAGCCCAGCGCCCGCCCCACACAGGGCGGGGTGTGGCATGTCTTAACATCATTTCTATTGTACCTGAGAAACATTTCCTTAAGAAAATTAAAGAGCAATTTATTTTTAAAGAAAAAAAAATTATTGGCCTAAATAAGGTTTATAGTTAAGTATTTAGTATTAAGTCATAAGCCGCTAAGTGTAGTCGTAAGTTACCCGAGGGTGTCTGACGGGAAGGGCTGCGGGGCCGCGGCCGCTGCCTGAGCCCCGGCTTGGTTTGTCCAGGTGGAGGTTAAACGGGCTGAGCCTCGGGACAGCAAGAGCCAGGCGCCGGGACAGCCAGGTGCCAGCCAGTGGGGCAGCCGGGTGGTGCCCAATGCTGCCAATGGCTGGGCAGGGCAGCCCCCGCCCACGTGGCAGCAAGGATACGGCCCACAAGGTAAGGCCAGACGTGGGGCGTGGGAGCCAGCGCGGGCATTCTGCGAGGGAGGGAGGGAGGGAGGGGGCATTGAAAGACCGCAGCCAGAGGCTGCCGTGCGGGTCCCTCCCGAGCAGGACAGACCACCCTCCCGGCTTCGTGCTAGTTCCCTACCTTGTGAGCTGGGCCCCGGCTGATGGGGAGGTGGGTCTCGCTGCCCACGGTGGGTGTTGCTGCGAGGGCAAGGGTGTGTGGCCTATCGCCCTCTGCTGCCAGGCCCCCCACGCGGGCGCCTCGCTCTGCCTGAGCCCACATGTCCTGCTTGGTCCTTGTCTGCACCCCAAGGAAGGCCCCCAGGGCGGGGGACAGTGGGGCAGGCAGGCTCTGGCCCCGGGCGCCTCCAGCAACCCTTGATTCTCTGTCTCCCCGTCTAGGCATGTGGGTGCCAGCCGGACAGGCGATCGGTAAGTGTTCCCTTGTAGAGTCGAGGCTAGACCCCAGCCCGGGCTCCGGGGCTGACGGCAGGCCTTCACCCTGGACTGCTGGCTCGCCCACACTCACCCTGCCCTGTGTGTTGCAGGTGGCTACGGACCCCCCCCTGCCGGCAGAGGGGCGCCCCCTCCGCCCCCGCCCTTTACCTCCTACATTGTATCCACGCCGCCCGGCGGCTTCCCGCCTCCTCAGGGCTTCCCGCAGGGCTACGGCGCGCCCCCCCAGTTCAGTAAGTACCCGGCTTTCTGCCCCTCGTCCCAGAGGCGACTCTCCATCAGACAGACTTGGTGGGAGCCCCTGCTTTGCAGCTGGGTGTGCGGGCATCACCTCTGCCCCCTGGCCCTGCGGGCCGCCGTGCTCACGGCCCAGGGGCAGCACGGCTTGCTGGAAGCTTTAGGTGAGCTCGAGCAGCACAAGTGAAGGGAAGCAAGCAGATGTTTTGTTTGTTTTTAATTGGAAAGTCAGATATTCAGAGAGGAGGAGAGACAGAGCGAAGATGATATGTCCACTGACTCACTCCTAAACTGACCATAACCGCCCGAGCTGAGCTAATCTAAAGCCAGGAGCCAGGAGCCTCATCCACGTCTCCCACGCAGCTGCAGGGTCCCAAGTCCTTGGGCCGTCTTCCACTGCTTTCCCAGGCCACAGGCAGGGAGCTGGATGGGAAGAGGGGCAGCCGGGATACGAACTCACGCCCATGTGAGAACCCAGTACATACAAGGCAAGGATTTTAGCCACTAGCCACCGCACCAGGCCCAAGTTAAGCAAGCTGTGAGCACTGCTTCCTGGGAGAATTCCCTGGACCCATCCAGACTCGTCCTGCTGCTGAGCAGGGTGCCGGCAGCCTGCGAGGGCAGGGCAGCATAGCCGGGGGGCCTCTGGCAGCGACACCAGCATCCCACAGGCCCACTGCTCCAGTCCTGGCTGCTGTAAGGGCCTGGTAAGGCAGGGGCAGGTGGCTCAAGTGCTGAGTTCCCTGCACCCGTGTGGCAGACCTGCAGGAGGTTCCTGGCTCCTGGCTTCAGCCTGGCCCAGCACTGCAAGCCACCTGAGAGAGGCAGCAGGTGGGAAAAATAGTGCACCTAAGATTGTGTGGAGTGGTCGCTGCACACGGTCGCCTTAGCACACAGCGTGACATCACCGTCAGCACACGGCCTCCCTCCACCCCGCCCTGTGGTGTCCCAGGCCACGTGGCCAGCTGCCTGTCCACACGGGGCTCAAGTGGCTTCCCAGCGGCCATTTAGAGACCTACCACTTGCTGCCAGATGGAGCTGGGCTGCGGGCCGCCCCCGTGCCAGCCCCGGAGCCCTCAGAGCCTGCCCTGTCCGCACTGGCTTTGTTCCTCTGCAGGGGCTGAGAGCTTGCACCTGCTGGGTCACTGCCGATGCCCGCCTTGGCAAGGACTGGGCTGTGCCAAAGTTGGAGGCCAGAAACTTAATCTGGTCTCCCGTTGGGTGCCAAGCGGCCAACTGGCTGGGCTGCCCCCGCCTGCCTGCCTCCTGCCAGGGCCGTGCCAGGTGCTCTGCCAGGGTCCTGGAGCTCTTCCCTGGCCTGGGTCCCCAGGGTGGGCCGCAGTCACCTGGCACCAGTGCCACCCGTGGTGGGTGTCCTGGGGGTGGCCATGGCGGCTGGCCCGTGCCCCGTCCACACCTCGTCCTCCTGTGTGTCTAGGTTTCGGCTATGGCCCTCCGCCCCCGCCACCGGATCAGTTTGCCCCTCCAGGGGTTCCTCCTCCGCCTGCCACCCCAGGGGCAGCGCCTCTCGCCTTCCCGCCGCCCCCGTCTCAGGCTGCCCCAGACATGAGCAAGCCCCCTACAGCCCAGCCGGATTTTCCTTACGGCCAGTACGGTAAGCACGCGCCGTGTACCGTGTGCCTGCGGCCTGGCGTGGTCCTGCCGTGGCCCACCTGCCTCTGTCTGCCAGGTGCAACCTGCCATTGTGGGAGCACACGGTGTTGGGGTGCTGTGAGGCGCACGAGCCTGTGTCGGGTGACCTGAGGCCCGGGGCTGTGCTGTGGGCCTTGGTCGGGGTTCAGGGCGGCCGTGTGGCCGGGGCCCGGGGGTTCACCCGTGTTCTGGTGTTGCTGACTGCCCTCGGGACAGGTGCTGCCAGGCTCGCTGTCTGTGCGCCGCCTGGAGGCTCTGGGGGCTCTGGGGGCCCCCGAGGACGGTGGAGGGACAACTCCTGGTCTCCGTGTGTTTCTGTGCTTGGCACCCCAGATGGGTCCAGGCGCCTGCGGGGCTCCTGGGCCGGGCTGAGCACTGGGAGGAGCCGCCCTTTCCGACCTCGCCTCACGCTGCCCGCATCTGGGAGCAGTTGTGGCCGCCTCTGCCCTCGGGGGGTGGAGAACAACCGGCCATGCCCTGCAGGAGCCAAGTGCCCGTGCCCAGGGCCTGCTCCCCCGCATCCCCTTCCCTGGAGGCCCTGTGACGTCAGACAGGGTCAGACAGGGCCCGCCGGGCAGCTGGGTGCTGGGTGCTGGGTGCCGGGCAGCTGGGTGCCGGGCTGCAGCCCCTCTCTGCCAGCAGCCCTTGCCAGTCGTCGCCCCAGCAGGGACAGGAGACACGAGGGGTCCCCAGGCACGAGGGCGAGGCTCAGCCCACGTGTGCATCGCTGCCGCCTCCTCACGCGCTCTCTCCCCCAGCAGGCTACGGGCAGGACTTGAGCGGCTTCGGACAGGGCTTCTCGGACCCGGGCCAGCAGCCTCCCTCCTACGGGGGCCCCTCGGTGCCGGGCTCGGGGGGGCCCCCCGCCGGCGGCAGTGGCTTCGGACGCGGCCAGAACCACAACGTGCAAGGCTTCCACCCCTACCGACGCTGACCGGCCCGGCCGGGCCCGGGACTCGAACTCGTGACAATCACACTTGGCAGCAAAATGCGACTGGAGCTGGGGGGGCGCGAGGCTTCTGTCGGCGGCTGGGCGTGTCTGGACTGAGGCTTATCAATTTCTTTCTTTCTCTAACCCATCAGCACAATAAAAAAAAAGTCACTGGTTCACCAACAGGGTTTTGAAAAACGTCTTCAGCTTTAATTCAGATCTTCAGGTTCCTTTTACTTCCTTCTTTGAAATTATTTTCCTGAGCCTTTTGTTTGACCGTATATTGTAAACTTTTATGTTAAAGGAAAAAAAAATATACATTTACAAATTGTGAGATTTTTCAGAGAAATTTTCTACGATGTATACTGGCTTATTTTTTAATTTAAAACAGGGTTCCGTCGGCACTGGGGCGGGGGGCCTGCCTGTCCAGAAGAAACCTACTGAGTGTGTTTTTGTTTTTGTTTATTCCTTGCTTCTGTCGACTGCCGGGGGCGTGTGCAGGTGCTCTGTGGGCCCGAGCGGCGGGGCGGCCACGCGTGGGGCCGGCGGACGCGCATCGCTGGGGCGGCGTCCCCACCGCTCTGCCCTGCTGAGAATAAAGAAGTGCGTTTGGATTCCAACGTGGTGTCTGTTCTTTCCCTCGGGGGGCCGGCTGCCCTGCCTGTGCCTCAGGTGAGCAGTGGGGGCACCGTCGGGGGGCCCGGCCCCGGGGGTGGGGGTGCCAGCCGCCCCCTCTGCACCCCGGGCCACCCCTGTCCATTTGTGACATCAGTTCTGGGGCAGTAGGATAACCCTCTGCTCAAGTGGGGGTGCCCTTGGTTAACCTCCCATCTCACGTGCCTGGGAAAGCAGGGGGTGACAGCCGAGTCCGGGGTCCCTGTCCCCACGGGGGACACCCGGGAGCTCCCGGCCCACCCAGCGCCCACGGGGGACACCCAGGAGCTCCTCCCGGCCCACCCAGCGCCCACGGGGACACCCGGGAGCTCCCGGCCCACCCAGCGCCCACGGGGGACACCCAGGAGCTCCCGGCCCACCCAGCGCCCACGGGGGACACCCAGGAGCTCCCGGCCCACCCAGCGCCCACGGGGGACACCCGGGAGCTCCTTTCCAAGGAGAGGGGTCCCAGGGCTCCATGCTCCATCCGCCCCGCTGTGGAGCCCCCGTTCCCGCCCATGGCCCCGGGACCCCCGGCTCCAGGCAGCCACGGTGGGACGGCAGGGGCACCCCCACCTCGTCCCCTGGTTGCTGTGGTGATGCTGTTTGGGATATTACCTTTTCTTTTTCTGGAAGCGATTTTATATGTTGGCAGTGTACAACATGGGCCGTCGTTGCCGTGTCTTACAAGGCTTCCACCCAGAAGCCACCAGCAGCTACTAACTCAGCCTCCCGGATGGATAAGGGGAAAAAAAGAGTAATAATAAACGTCTGGTTCAGGGAGGCGCAAGGCCTCATCCCCTCCCGGCCGAGGAAATCCACCTGCACAGCGCGGACGCCGGGCTCACTGCAATCTGCCACTCGAACAGCAGAGGGCGCGCGATTTCCACAGGCCTGGCGGACAGGAACCTGGCGGAAATGGGTCACTCTTAGCCTCAGGTCTGGCGAAAGCGCAGGCGCACGGCAGGGCCGTAGCCTGGCGGAAATAGGTCACTTTTAGCCTCAAATCTGCCGAAGGCGCATGCGCACGTCACGGCCGTAGCCTGGCGGAAATAGGTCACTTTTAGCTTCAGCTCTGCCGAAGGCGCATGCGCACGTCACGGCCATAGCCTGGCGGAAATAGGTCACTTTTAGCCTCTGATCTGACGAAAGCGCATGCGCACGTCACGGCCGCAGCCGGGCGGAAGTGGGTCACTTTTAGCTTCAAGATTGAAGAAAGCGCAGGCGCACGTAACGTCTGCAGCCTGGCAGACGCGCATGCGCGCGCCAGCCTCAGACCTGGCGGAAACAGGTCATTCGTAGCCTCAGGTCTGGCGAAAGCGCAGGCGCACGCACGGGCGAGAGGGCGGGACACGCAAGGTGTCTCGTGATATCTGCGTGTGCGCGGGCGCCGCTCTCTCTTCCGGGAAGACGACAAGATGGTGAGTGCGCGCACGGCCTCGCCGGCCGGTTCCCCATCGCGCGCCATCCGCCGCCGCGCCGCCCTGGCCGGCCATCGGAGCGGGCCCGCGGGGCTCCGGGGGATGCGGGGAGGGCGTCGGGGCCCTGCGGGGTCGGGGCGCTCGGGCCGGCCCTGACCCGTCCGCGCTGGCTCGTGCAGGCGGAGGTGGAGCAGAAGAAGAAGCGCACGTTCCGCAAGTTCACGTACCGCGGCGTGGACCTGGACCAGCTGCTCGACATGTCCTAGTGAGCGGGGCCGCGCGCCGTCGGGTCGGGGGTCCGGGGTCCGGTGTCCGTCCCGGGGTGGCCCGAGTCCGTGTTGTGCCGCTGTGTCCGTCCCGGGGTGCCCTGCTGGGGTGTCGTGTCCTGCGGATCCCTGTGTCCGGCCCGGGTGCTCTGGGGCTTGTCCTGGTGGAGTGTCTTGTGTCTCGTGTTGGGATGCTTGTGCTTTGTTAGGGTGTCCAGGGTGTCGTGTCGGGGTCCCCCGCGTCCTGTCCTGCGGGGAGCCCCGTGTCGTGTCGGGGTCCCCCGCGTCCTGTGGGGGTGTCCCGCGTCCTTTTGGGGTGTCGCGTCCCGTGCCCTGCAGCCTCTCCCTCCCGCAGCGAGCAGCTCATGCAGCTGTACAGCGCGCGCCAGCGGCGGCGGCTGAGCCGGGGTCTGCGCAGGAAGCAGCACTCGCTGCTCAAGCGGCTGCGCAAGGCCAAGAAGGAGGCGCCGCCCATGGAGAAGCCCGAGGTGGTGAAGACGCACCTGCGGGACATGATCGTGCTGCCCGAGATGGTGGGCAGCATGGTGGGCGTGTACAACGGCAAGACCTTCAACCAGGTGGAGATCAAGGTGCGTGCGGGGCGGGCGGACCCCTCACCCCTGACCCCTGACCCCTGACCCCTCACCCCGCTCACCCCTCACCCCGCTCACCCCTCACTCCTCCCGCAGCCCGAGATGATCGGCCACTACCTGGGCGAGTTCTCCATCACCTACAAGCCCGTCAAGCACGGCCGGCCCGGCATCGGCGCCACGCACTCCTCGCGCTTCATCCCCCTCAAGTAGCCGAATAAACGGGCGCCGCTGCCCACACGTGCCCACGCCTGTGTCTCTGGGGGGCGTCGTCGTCGGGGGGCTCGGGGTGGGACACGGCGCGACGCGTGCGCGGGGACGGGCAGGGAGGAGGTGAGGGCAGCCGGGTGCCAGTGCCCGGCCCGAGTGAGGACGGCGCCAGCCTCCCCGTGCCCCGTGCCCCGGGTCCGCTGCCGGGTGCTGGCAGGGGCGTGGGTGCCCCCCGTGCCGGGGACCCTCGCAGTCTCCCCGGAGCGCAGCTGCCCTGCCTGCCGTGGCTGTGCCCGCGGACGAGGCCGGGTGGCCACGGGGCAGCGCAGACCCCGCGCTCCGCGGAAGGGCCCCGTCCGGCCTCCGTCCCGGCGCCTGCAGGTGCGGCTCGTTTAGGCCTCCTGCCCCTTCTCGCCCCTCCGTGCGCCTCCGCGTGCGCCCCGGCCCTCCGTGCGCCTCCGTCGGCCGAGGCTCCTGTGGAGCCGCGCGCGCTGCGTCCCGGGGCCCCGTCCCCAGCCCGGTGCGCCCCTCGGGTACGTCCATCCCGGTGAACCCCAGGTTCCGTGCGCGCCCCTCGGCCCTCCCCACGGCCCTGCCCGGCCCCGTGCACCCCAGGCTCCGTGGGCTCCCCAGGCCCGGCCCTCGTCCCTCCCGGTGCCGCAGCGCGCACATCCCGGCCCGTCACACCCCGAGCTCCACAGGCTCCGTCCCAGCCCCGTGCGCTCCAGGCTCTGTGCGCCCCACGGCCCGTCCCAGCCCCTTGCACCCCAAGCCCCCCAGTTTCCGTCCCTCGCGCGCGCACGGCCCGGCCCGGCCCCGCGCAGCGCCGCCCCTCCGTGCACGCGCACGCCTCCCGCCGCGGCCCCGTGCCCGCACGCCGGCCGAGGGGCGGCCCGGGCGGCCGCGGCTCCATGGGGCTCCTGGCTTTGCTGGGCCTGCTGCACTCGGCCTTCCTCGGGGACCAGGTAGGGCGCGGCGCTGCGGGCTGTGGGCGCCCCTGGGGTCCGCGCGGCGGGGCAGCGGGTCGGGGTCTGCGGCGGTCGTCCTGGAGACGGTTGCCAGGCGAGCTGGCGGGGCGCGCGGCCCCCGGGCGCGCAGCAGCGGCCCCCTCCTCTCCACGGCTGCGCAGGCGCAGGCCTCGCCCCCCGCTGCCCGTGCGCCGGCCCCGTTGCGGTGCGGGAGACCCCTGCACGCTGCGCCGGGGGTCCAGGGACCCCGCGCCCCTCACTGCGCCCCCTCCGGGCCGAGCGCCATCCCTTCGGCCGCTGCCATTCATGACTCTGCTCGTGGCCTTCCGGGACGTCCCGGCGCCGCGTCCGGGAAAGCGGCGGGTGTGGGGGGAGCCAAGGTCGGGCCGAGCGCCCAGGGAAACTGAGGCCCCGCCGCCTGCACCGCGCAGCTTCCTGCTACCCCCCCACTGCCACCCCCACCTGGCAGAGGAGGGTCAGGGGACCTTGAGGGGACAGTGCAGTTGACCCAAGGGCACCAGGACCCCGAAGTGTGCCAAGCCGGGGCTGCGGACAGGCGGCGGCTGCTGGTGAACGAGCTGGGTGGGGGAGAACTGGGCCCAGGCTGTAGGCGGGCCTGGTGCACCCATGATGCCAGCCTGTGGCCGCAGGGATGCCCGGTGCAGTCAGGGGCGTGGCGGCAGGAGGCCCCCGGAGGCCCCCGCACTCCAGGTCCGGCCACACGCAGCATGGGGAGGCGCGGTGGGCCCTGGTTCTAAGCCTGCGTTCCCTCCAGGCACACAGGGCACGCCTGGATGGGTGCAGGGGGCAGCACGGGGTCAGCCGGACAGCCAAGGTCACCTGGAGTGACCCGTTGGCAAAGGGAGGCGAGCCCAGTCCATGCCCAGCCCTGCAGGTCTGACCTCTGCCGGCTGCGCACCCAGCCCCCTTCGTGGGCAGGCTGTCCCCCGGGACGCTGGCCCTGCCCTCCTGGGCCACAGGAGCAGCCGTGGCTCCATTCAGGGCCTGGCGCAGCCTCACCCACCCTGCCACGCCCCGTCCTCCCCTGTCCGCACGCACCGACCAGGCACTGTCCCATCGTGCTGTCGGCCATCACCCCTGCTGCCCGGGGAGGGGGCCCTGACCTCGCATCCCGCTCCCCACGGGCTGGGGAGTTGGAGAGGGGGCGATGGCTGAGCCTGGGGGAGGTGACGTCTGTGCATGGTCACAGTGGATCCAGTCTTGCTGTACAACATGGGGGGTGGGGATGGAGCTGACCACCCGTCACCCCTTCCTCCACGCGCGGGGGACCCTGGGGCAGCCCCAGCTGAGCCCCTTGCTGGTCCTTCCCATCTCTGGGGAGCCCCCCGCCCCGCCACACCAGCTCCCTGCCCCCGCACGGCTCTGCTGCAATAGCCGGGCTGCGATGCGAGGCCCCCGGGGCGCTGAGCTCTGCCCCGGCCGGTGGGGGGACACGACGCGCCCCCTCGCCCACAGGGGTTCGCCCCTCGGCCGACGGGAGCGCGCG